AAAGCTCTTAAACTCCTATGACAGAAGGCGGAATTCTTGTACTTTGTTTTTCCAATTAGCGCACTCAGATTTAGTATATAGTGTCAGGCCTGTTTTAAATGTGTGTGAGTCACTGGTTCATTTTTATTCTCCTCCAGTGCTCTTCTGGTGTCTTCAGCACAGGGGGCTTTTTGTGGACTGTATTGTGACGCCAGACTCTGGCACGCACAGACAGGCTGGGGCTGAAGGCCAGCTCTCACACACACACACACACACACACACACTCTCCAGAAGAATCAGAGCGAAGACGAGTCTGTGCCCCAACACACTCCACCAGCACAACCAAACACACTCCAGCTCAGCACACGGATGAGCCCATATCACAAATACACACTGATCCACATGGAAAGAAAAATCATAAATCATAAATCATAAAATAATTTCTTTCATATCTTTCCTAGGAGATTAAATGCAGAGTAAATGGAGCAGTCTCTTGCTTCTCAAGAGTTTTCTCTTGAGTGAAAAAATAATAGTCTTATGTACAAGTTCTAAAGTTTGGGGTCGGTAAGACTTTTTCATATTTTTGAGCCCCTTCTGATCACCAATATACAGCAAAAACAGTAATAAGACAAATTCAATACTTAAACCTAAAAAAATACCATTACATCTCCTGAGGTACTGTATGAAAGAGCAACCACTGAGCAATGAAAATCTCATCTGGGAAGAAACAAATGCAAGTGTAAACATTTCACATCTTCAGGACGTGTTAAGAGCTCATAACCTCGTATTCAAATACTTCAGAAAGTGGCACTTGTGTGAAAAGAAGAGGCAGTAAAAATGACCATGTGTTCCTACATACTGTACATGTTTGTGCCAGTGGTGACTGTTCAAGACTACATTGATTAGGCAAAAATGCAATAATGATTAATCTAACTACAAATAATCTTACATATCATTTTTGTTGCATTTCACATTCTACCAAATGAACAGTGTGAAATATCACAGCAGTATCATACCGTTTATTCATTTAAAGTAATCTGCTTTAGGATTCAGTGACTTATGCCCACAGACCTGACTGAATCCATCTAGACAGAATGAAATGTAAATACTGAAAATGTACACAAGAAATGTCAAAGAAAACATTATGCAGTGAATAAATATGTCTGGTGTACAGTTCACCCAACCAGCCGCTCCACACATGCTTTTGTCTTGCTTACCTGGTGCTGGATTTTGTGATCTGAACTGTGCTGAATGAATGAAAGGGTGAGAACTGGGTCTCTGAACCAAGTCCATCCTTACAGTAGAGGCACGCTGACCCCAGAACAGTTACCCACTGTCTCACTGGCCAAAGTGCCACGGTCAAAGACTGGCCTGCC